TCCTAATTATAAGACCCCAATCCATTTTGTCTCTTATATTTATACTCCTCCGGTCCTAATTATAAGACCCAATTGACTTATTTGAGGAGATTAAGGAAGTAAGTTAAATTGGTTATTTATAATAAATAAGTGTTGTTATTCCTAAAATATTCTTACTAATTAAGTATATTGGCTAAAACTATCATTATTAGAAGGATTATCTTAGAAAAAAATGCATAAATATAAAAGAGAAAATGGATTGGGTCTTATAATTAGGACCAAATAAAAAGTCAAATTGGGTCTTATAATAAGGACCGGAGGAGTACATTTTTTTCCAAGATAATCCTTCTAATAATGATAGTTTTAGCCAATATACTTAATTAGCAAGGATATTTTAGGAATGACAACATTTATTTATTATAAATAACCAACTTAACTTACTTCCTTAATCTCCTCAAATAAGTCAATTGGGTCTTATAATTAGGACCGGAGGAGTATTATAATCAGAACCGGAGGTGGTATATTTTATTTTCTTGAAAATAGGACGCATTTTTTGTTCGTATCGTTGCGTTGGCTGGTGGCTTTGGGAGCATACATCCACGTAGCCCAGCCAATAGAAGTTACACAGATCAGCCTTGCATCCTCCAAAGGGTCACATCTAAGCAGGCCGTCTTGTTTTATAAGGATAAACTGAAAACTTGGACAGGCCCGTTTATGTAATAATAAATATAAAACCTATTTTATATATTTATTGATTTTTTAAAATTAATCTTATTAATATTTTTTAATAATAATTAAGTAGGACTAGGAGTAAGAAAATTAAAAAAGAAGATTATATTATTTTTAAAAAATTATTCATATTAATTAATTTAACTAATATTTTTAATATACTTAAATTACCTAATTAGGTATTACGAATATAATAATCCACTAGTAGTAATTTTAAAAAAAAAATTTTCAACTCAGCTTATCTAGGCGATGCGATTTTGGTCCCAAAAAAAAGGGTTAACAAGAAAAAGAAAAACATTTTGACGATAATTTAACAAATTTTCATTCTAAGTTGACAAAGGAATTCAGATCAGTTAAGTCCGACGTTGTTCTCAAAAACCAGTTAATAATGTCCAAAATATTGCTGTTTACTTAATTTATGCAGAAAATAGCTTTTCTTAGTTTTAAAACTTACCAATTAAGGTACGAATCTCTAAAACTTCTGTAATTGAATTTGTTCACTAATAAATTACTTCATATCAACCCATTCAATTAGAGCAAATTTTACGTAGACTATTTATAGCTTTACTATCGAAGTTTCAATTCAAAATATAATATAATTTTTTAATATTAATATGATATATATATATGATTACAACCAATAAATGAGTATTTCAATCAAATCATGAGCCTATCATATTGTAAAATAATCATATTTCAGTTGAGAGAATTCATAATAAAAATTTAGGCTTTAGGATTATTTAATGCAGAGTCTAAATAACTTGTTGAAATATTAAAATATTATCCGCCGGCGAAAGCCCCAAAGTTAGATATTCAGAAATGAACGTTTGACTTCCGTTTTATAAACTCAGAATATGGCTGTAGCATAAGTAACCTAGATTGTACAGGGCCAAGGGCATCGGTAACATCGTTAGGAAATTCTAAAAGGGAAAATTTCATTGAAGGACCGCTGAAGGCAATTAATTTCCAATAGCCCCCAAAACAATCTGACAAGCCACTGCAGGACCATAGGGGTGAATTGATATTAATTTCAAAACTAAAAAGACAGTGTTGTCCCTCAAACTATTACTCTGAAATTTGAAGTCTTCTCTCTCTCTCTCTCTCAACTCCCGATATCTGAAGCCCCTCTCGCTCACTCTCTAAAAATTCCAGTTCATGCAGTGAAGGAGATCGTTCACCTCACTGTCGCTACTGTTGTGGTGAGGAAAGATTTTGCCATTGTCATTGCTCTGCTACGGAGAGCCTTCGTTGTCGCCCTTGCTCTAGCAACGAGAGCCTCCATCACCGCTCCTGCAAGTGTTGGACGAGAGCCTTTTGTGTAGATATGAAGCTGGTTAAACTAGAAAAGCTTGCAGGAACGCGAACTCTACATGAATTTATTGCTGAATACAGTTTGTTTTTGTTTTAATAAACAGTTATTTTTGTGTACATATGAACCTCAATATGTATTTTTGGAATGGTTCACGAAGTGGCTATGACAATCCGTGAGTTGAAATCTATTTTGTATGACTATGAATAGATGGAGAATTTCATGATGGTACTTAGAGGTAAACTGCCCTAAGTACTGAACTGAAACTAGCTAGCAACTATATAAATGTGTGAACAAATTAATCGACTTGCAAATGGACGTATTTTTATTGTTAATGCATGTATTCTTATTGCAAAGTTCCTAATTCCACTTGTAAACAGTCACTTCCAGATTTGTGAATTGACGTGTTCAACTTTTTAAATGAAATAAATCTACTTGTAAAAGAACGTATTTCTATTGTTAACGAGTGTATTCGTGTTGCAAATTTCCTAATTTCACTTGTGAACCCTTACTCCAAGACTTGTGATAAACTTTTTCAATTGAACCAGCTCACTTGCAAATGGATGTGTTATTCTTATTAATATACACATCCTATTTGTAAATTTTCTAATATCAGTTACAAATGATCCCTCCCAGACTTGTGAATAATCATGTTCAACTTCTTAAATTCAACTAGCTCACTTATAAATAGACAAATTCTTATTGTTAATATACTTATCCTTCTTGCAAATTGTTTGACTCTAGTTGCAAATAGTCCCTCCCAAACATGAATTATCATGTCCAACTTCTAGAATTCAACTAGATCACTTGCAAATAGACGGGTTATTGTTGTTAATATGCATATTCATATTGCAAATTACCTAATTCCACTTGTGATTAGTGCTCCTCAGACTTGTGAATAATCATGTATGACTTTTTTAGTTATATTAGTCCATTTGTAAATGGATAAGTTTCTCTTGTGAATCAATGTATCTTTATTGCAAATTTCCTAATTCTAATTGCCAATATGACAACCAAATAACTATGACATCAAAGTGTTAATCAACATATTCTTATTGTAAATTTTCTAATTCGAGTTGTCAATAGTACATCACATACTTGTAAGTTAGTGGGGAAAGACAACAAATTGTAATTAATTGACATGCAACCTACTCATAGTATATTCCCTAAAACAAAAATCGTGCAAATTCTCCATACACAAATTTTAACACATTATGTCATTGTTTTGTTTTTTATTGTCTTTATCCGTTGAAGTAGTTTGCAATAGCAACTGATTGTGTATTTCTTTTGGAGTAATGAGTCACCACAACTCAGACTTTAGTGAAGTGTATTATTCTTGTGACACAACAATAAGTACTGTCAATAGATTAACACAAGCGCATCAATGCAAACTCAAAATAATGAATGAACTCATGAGTAATAGAAAATGACTATCACACAAGGGATATTGTGACTAGTGCTTCCTAGGCAATTTGCAAGAAGGATAAGTATATTAACAGCAAGAATTTGTCCATTTACAAGTGAGCTAGTTGAATTCAATAAGTTGAACATAATTATTCACAAGACTGGGAGGGATCATTTACAACTGAAATTAGAAAATTTGCAAATAGGATTTGTATATTAATAAGAATAACACATCCATTTACAAATAAGCTAGTTCAATTGAAAAAGTTTATCACAAGCCTAGGAGTGAGGGTTCACAAGTGAAATTAGGAAATTTGCAACACGGATACACTCGTTAACAATAGAAATACGTCCTTTTACAAGTAGATTTATTTCATTTAAAAAGTTGAACACGTCAATTCACAAATCTGGAAGTGACTGTTTACAAGTGGAATTAGGAACTTTGCAATAAGAATACATGCATTAACAATAAAAATACGTCCATTTGCAAGTCGATTAATTTGTTTACACATTTATATAGTTGCTAGCTAGTTTCAGTTCAGTACTTAGGGCAGTTTACCTTTAAGTACCATCATGAAATTCTCCATCTATTCATAGCCATACAAAATAGATTTCAACTCATGGATTGTCATAGCCACTTCGTGAACCATTCCAAAAATACATATTGAGGTTCATATGTAAACAAAAATAACTGTTTATTAAAACAAAAACAAACTGTATTTAGTAATAAATTCATGTAGAGTTCGCGTTCCTGCAAGCTTTTCTAGTTTAACCAGCTTCATATCTACACAAAAGGCTCTCGTCCAACACTTGCAGGAGCGGTGATGGAGGCTCTCATTGCTAGAGCAAGGGCGACAACGAAGGCTCTCCGCAGCAGAGCAATGATGATGGCAAAGTCTTTCCTCACCACAACAGTAGCGACGGTGAGGTGAACGATCTTCTTCACTGCATGAACTGGAATTTTTAGAGAGTAAGCGAGAGGGACTTCAGATATCGGGAGTTGAGAGAGAGAAAGAGAGAGAGGGAGAAGACTTCAAATTTCAGAGTAATAGTTTGAGGGGCAACACTGTCTTTTTAGTTTTGAAATTAATTTCAATTCACCCCCATGGTCCTGCAGTGGCTTTTCAGATTGTTTTGGGGGCTCTTGGAAATTAATTGCCTTCAGCGGTCCTTCAGTGAAATTTTCCCATTCTAAAATATGTCTGTTTTTTTTTTTTTTAACCAACAGAGGTTGGGTCTAACGGAAGTGGTTAGTATCTCATAACGTGATGAAATAAGGGTCAAATCCCCACATTTAATGTTCTACCATGCCTCAAATAGGATTGTTTTTAATAGAAGGATACATATATTTTAGAGGGGAAGAATCTGTGTTTTTGGGCTGTCATACACGAAATAAGATCCATCTTCACAAATAACACAATATTGTGAAGTATTTATCACTAGACCCCGTATAATTGGCACTTGGCTCATTTTCTTACCCCTGCTAGCAAGTAATTTTGTATTTAGATTTTTATGTAAAACAAGCTATGTTAGGCTACACAAAATCACAAACTGGCTCAACTCAATAATTCCTTCTTACACTGCCTTTCCTTCCTCAAGCTCAACGTTGTTTATCGTACAAGTCCTACAACACAAGCACTTAAATTTGAGTTGTAAAGATGAATTTGAATCAAAAGTCTGAGTAGATTCCAATCATATATGATAGATACCCTAGGGAATGAGGATTCCTGATTGTGCAGCTTAGCAACCTCCCATAGATGCTCACTGCCCCTCAGTTTAGCTATATCCTTTATGTTCCGATCCTGAACAAAAACAACCTGTTACAGTGACAGAGTTTCCACTAATTCTAATGTTCCTGTACGGACTAATAATTATATGCACTATCCTTGCCAAACAAGATGAATAACACAATTTCTACCTTATCAAAGGCGTTGTAAAGAGTAACAAGCAACATTCACTTTATAACCTAGATTATACAGAAATTTAATTTCAGAGTTATTAGGATAGCTTTTTATGCACGATATTCCATGTCTGAGTATTTCAACATGTATCTGAAAGTGTAATACAGCAACAGTTTTATGGTGTTGACATAAAAAAAAAAAAAAACATGCACTTCTGGGCCATTCATTTCATCAACAAGTTCACATTCATCCTACCTCTGAAGCCCGATAGCCTTTTGTTCCCACCCAAGAACCCGCTCTTATCTGTTTTCCATTCCCTGCAAATAGAAAAGAAGTATTAAATATAAAGATTTCCGTCTGTCCACCATTCATCTACATATATATATATATAGAGCCCTCGAATAAAAGCATCTAACCTTTACTCTTCAGAAATCCAGCACCAATGGCGTCATTGCCAATTGAGTTCAAAGGCATGGGAGAGATGTAGACATGCTCACCCTCCATCTTATTACGAGGAGCAGGAACTCACTTTCTCGTAGGAGTGTTTGATAAATCTTGATTCGACCCTAACAGCGTTTCTTGCAAGATGTTAATCAACTCTTTCCTCCTTGGCCTTGCCAGACTCAGTCTCATGGGAATGGTGTCTTCGTGCAAACAACCGAATTGTCAAAATTCTTACATCTCATTCGACGCAATTGAAAAGGGAAGGAATGAAAACAAGAAGAGTATTTATCTTTAACTCCTACAAAACCAAATCTTTCCACAAGTGCAGAAAATTCAAGAGATGATTACAGCATGCATAAGCTAGTGATATTCTAAGTTACCCGATCAACTTTCTTAAGATATTAACTCAGTCAAAATCATATGCGAACGTGGAATTTTACAGTGATCTCGCCATTCCTTTATCCTTGTTTAATGACATTCAAACAAAATATGAGGGGAAACGAATCTACAGTGGCGCTGCCTAACTTCCATTCTTCTTATTCTTCTTCTTGGTTCTCCTCAAATTCTTTCCCCTTCATTTGGTCCTAAACAAAGACTTAGCATTTCAATTATCATTCCCTTAGGACTTCAGTTATTAGGGAATGTACATGTAAAGCTGAGAGAGTACTGGAAGCTTACCGATATTCCCCGGCTTCTGATGCAGATCCTGAGAGAAGCTAAATTGCAAGATAAAACAGTTTTATATTGAACAACATAAAAAATCTGTTTATGTTACGCTACAGAAACAAAATACAAACCTTGGCAGCTACCCCTTGTTGAGCTTACGGGAGAAAAGGAAATTGCCAGGTTTAACACTTCTGTGTATTACTCCCTGCCTTTGCATAAGCAATCATTAGAACCTCTAATTTTCCTAGTGTTGCATATATTGCAAAAATACAAGTCTTCATACCCTCTTGTGAAGAGCCGCAAGAGCCCGGAACATGCAGTAACCATACCATCGGAGTTGAACAACATCATATTTAACCATACCCTCTTGTGAGGGGAAAAATCTGCACATAAGAGTGAAAACATAAAATGACACGAAACTTCCATTTAATGTGGGAAATTTACCTCAGGCCTGTCGTGCTCAATATGTTCTAGAACAAAGCAATCAGTTTTTCCATTCTTGAAGCTGCCTTCATATTTAATGACGACGTTTTTGCCTCTGAATTATGAAGTCATTGTCATAGAAAAGTCATTAACTTCAAAAGCTTAACTGGCAAAGCAAAATGTTTAAGAAATATTTCTGAATTGTACTTACCCAAATCGCTCTAGCACTTTCAGCTCATTAGTAACATATTGCCCATGAGCCTTGGCATGAGGACCTGAAAAGCCACAATGATAAAATTAGCACTTTCTACTTCTGAAAGGTCATAACTTGTGTCATTCATGAATAGCGAAAACGAACAATGTTTCGTGGTCAATAACATGGACTGAATGAAAGAAAAGGATCGATGTGAAAAATTTTGATCCTATATGGCTGAGAATTCGAAGATTGCCCGATTGGAGTACTAATGATTATGTCGCTTTAATTATTTTTAATAATATATAAATGGTGATGGGGCAAGAAAAAGAATGCTTGGGTTAGTTTTATTGATGATAAGCAATGTGCTGTGAACTATGAACTGTCAAATTGGATAATAAGTAACGTTCATGCCTAATGTGCGTTGGACATATGTAGATGCAAATTTATCCTGAAAATTTTCATTTAAAAGCACTAGGCATTTGAAAAAATTTTTGGGTGCAAAGTTATCTCAAAAGTTTAAAATTGTAGTAATATTTATCATGAAAAATCAAAGCCGACCGTTAAAATAGTGATATTAACTGTTAACATTTTTATCAGTATTGGACAATATTGTTATGGTTTTAAACTTTCAAAATGAACTTTTCAATGCCTAGTGCTCCTGAGTAAAAACTTTCAAATGTTGGAAGATTGTTATGTTCCTTTTGATCCTACGTGACAGGAATCAATAGCTTTTCGTGAGAAAAGCTTGGACTAAACATATTTAATGACTTGTAGAGAAAGTAAAAAGTGAGTTCCCAGTATAATTGTAAAAATATATCGTAGCCAAAAGTCAACAAGATAGCAGTGTCTCAAATTTAAAGACATACCTCAGGATTTTAAACTAATAACTTTAAAGGTTTGGTGGAGAAAAAGAAGACGATAGAAAGAGAGTGAATAGTTCATGCCTTGTCTTGTTGATCTGACACAAATATATAGAGTGAGATATACAGAGTGTGGCAGTGAAATGTGTCATGTGACTTGACCAGGTCGGCTAACTAAGTCTGTTTGGTTATACTAATAAGTTAGTTACAATATAACCGACTACTTTATTACACTATCATTCCCCCTCAATTTGAGGTACTCTCCTACATGTAAAAACTTCTTGAAATCAGAAAACAAGGAGGAGGAAACAGGCTTAGTGAATCCATTAGCTATCTGGGAAGAAGTTGGAACATGTAAAACTTGAATTGCTTTACTGATTGTTTTCTCACGAACAAAATGAATATCCAGCTCTATATGCTTAGTCCTGGCATGTAAAATGGGATTTCTTGTCATCATTACTACACTCTGATTATCAAAGAGTAGTTGAGGAGTAGAGCACAACTTAACATGTAGTTCAAAAAATAGCGATTGGAGCCAAAGGACTTCAGAAAGTGTTGCTGCCATGCTTCTATACTCAGCTTCTGTACTAGACCTTGCTACAGTTGGTTGTTTCTTGGATGACTAGGAGATAAGATTTCTGCCAAAGTATACACAGTAACCAGTGGTGCTCTTTCTATCATTATAGTCTGCAGCCCAATCAGCATCACAATATGCTACAAGTGACATATGCGGAGAAGGACTTAGGAGAAGACCATGGCTCACAGTCCCAGCCAGATAGCATAGGATGCGTTTAACCGCTGTCCAGTGCTCCTTCAAAGGTGCTTGCATACACTGACAAACCTTGTTGATAGAAAAACTAATCTTTGGTCGTGTAATAGTGGCATACTGAAGTGCCCCAACAACTAAACGATATAACTATGGATTAGTAAAGAGATCAGGGCCCTCTTTATAAAGTTTCAGACTGGATACCATAGGAGTAGTAACTCCTTTTGCTTTTGCCATTCCAGCTTCCTTTAAAACATCTCTAATATATTTAGCTTGAGACAGAACTAAGGAACCATTTGTTAATCTATGAATCTCGATTCCAAGAAAGTAATTCAGAGACCCCAAATCCTTGAGAGAAAATTCCTTATTCAAGGCTGTAACAATTTCAGAAATCTTTGAAGAGGAAGTACTGGTAAGAATGATGTCATCAACATATGCTAAAACATATATAACTTCACGGTATTCTACTTTGATAAATAGAGATTGATCACATTTACTACTCTTGAAACCAAGTTTAAGTAGAGCACCAGATAATTTTTCAAACCAGGCACGAGGTGCTTGTTTTAAGCCATAAAGAGCCTTGTCAAGTTTACATACCAGAGACTTATCCTTCTCATATCCGAGTGGTTGCTGCATATACACTTCCTCATGAAGAATTCCATTAAGGAAAGCATTGTTAACATCAACCTGTCTGATAAACCAACGTTGTGTGACAGCAATAGACAAGATAACATGTATGGTAACAAGTTTAACTACAAGACTAAATGTTCCTGTGAAATCAAAACCTCCTTTCTGATGGAACCCTTTAGCCACTAAACGAGCTTTAAATTTGGCAGTGCTCCCATCTGGATTTGTTTTACGCTTCCAAACCCACTTACAACCAATTGCATGTCTATTGGGAGGAAGATGTACCAGATGCCAGGTCTTATTCCTCATTAATGCTTCATATTCCTCATCCATAGCCTTTTTCCATACTAAAGAGCTTAAAGCTTCAGTGACACTAGATGGTTCTATCTCAACAGTATACACTTTTGGCTTGTAGACCCCATTTATGGATCTTGTAACAATCCTTCGTTCAGGTACAACAGTATTATGAGGTAAAGGAACCTCAGGTGGTTGAATAGCAGTAGTGCAGGGAGACCGAGAGGCTTCACGAGAGGCTTCACTAGGTGATGTACTAGATGAAGAAGAAAAGCCTTCATCATTAGAAAACCTGCACATATCAGCAGCTGAGGTAATAGGAGAGTTAATAGCATTGCACTAAGAAGGACTGGAAACAAGAATAGAGGGTGCAGGGGAGTCAATGCAAGAGACAGGATTAGAAGACTTGGCAAAGGAAGATGATGGAACAAGTTTAGGAAAGGAAACTCATGTTCATTAAAGATAACATCTCTTGATATGTACATTCGGCCTTTAGGATCCCAACATTTGTATCCTTTATGAGATGAGCTACAACCCAAGAAAATGCATTGGATAGATCTAAAATCTGTTTTATGTCTGTTGTAGGGTCTAGTAAGGGGAAAACATGAGCAGCCAAAGGTTTTAAGATGAGTATAGGTAGGGGCTTTATGAAATAATCTTTCAAAAGGTGAAAGACCATCAAGAGCTTTATTGGTAATCTGTTAAACAGATAAATAGCAGTACTAAAGGCTTCAACCCACAAGCACAAAGGCAAGGAAACATTGGCTAACAAGGTAAGGCCAAATTCATTGATGGATCTATGTTTTCTCTCAGCTAAGCCATTTTGTTCATGAGTGTGAAGACAGCTCAGTCTACGTATCACACCAAATTGCTTTAGGTATTTACCCGTCTTAAGATATTTAACACCACCATCAGATTGAAAAATCTTAATGGAACAACCCAACTGTAATTCAACCATCTTTTTGAATTCAACAAACGCATCAAATGCTTTTGATTTGTTATGTAATGGATAAAACCAAGTGAATCGTGTAAAGGCATCAGTGAAATGTATGTAATATTTGTATCCATCAAGAGATGTGTAGGGTGAAAGGCCCCAGATATCAGAATGAACAAGCTCAAGAGGAGAAGTGTATTGTGATAATGACAAGGAATAAGGAAGTTTATAAGCTTTTCCTAAACAACAGGCATTACAGAAATCAAATGTGGAATTTTTATTATTGAAAGCAAGATTACATGACTTCATGACTTGAGTAACAACAGGAGAGGCAGGATGTCCAAGTCTATTATGCCAGAGGCGAAAATTTGAACGAACAAAATCATTACAATATGAATCAGTAGAAAGATAGGCAAAATGTTGAGACGAAGTAGTTGAAGACTTTAACTGACACGGCTGAAGGGAGACACCATGGAGAGCTGACTTGTTCCTCTTGAGGACTCCTTTGTAGATGATTTGGTTACTTTGAAGATCCTTAATCACACAAACATTGGAAAAGAATGCAATAAGAATCTCATTATCAAGACACAATTTGGGAACACTGAGAAGATTTTTGGAGATGTTAGGCACATGAAGGATATCTTTAAGTTTAAGAATATATTTAGAAGTAGGAAGACGACAATTTGAGGAACCAGTGCAATGAACTAACAGGCCCTTACCGTCGGCACCAAAAATTTTGTCAATAGACTTACCACCAGATTTGTCAAAGATATTACAATCATCATGAGTCACATGGCTCGTGGCTCCTGAATCAAGGTACCAATCCGGATCAGTAACACATTCAGCAGTAGCCATCAAGGCATGTTGATCTTTCTTGCTCTGTTATTTGTTGTTCAGAGAGAGTTCATTGAACGCTTCGTCAAACCTATACTAGCATTCACGAGCACGATGTCCTCATTTCTCACAGATCTGACAGGTGTCAACAGTCTTATTATGCGACTGTGAATAAGATGAAGAAGAACCTCCAAAGTACGATGAGCGTTCACCACCACGACTCCTCTTCCACCTTGTGATCTACCACCTCCTCTGTTGGAAGGCTTTGTGTGAGCAATATTTGCAGTCTCAATGGTTGGAGCAGATTGATTCTTCTCTGTGCGTGCTTCTTGCACTATCAGGAGCGACTCAATCTCATCAACAGAGTATGGATCGGTTCTTGTAGTGATCGCAGTAATCCATGGATCATACTCATCTGAGAGCCCCTTAAAGATGTACTCAATATGATCAAAATCAATAATCGGATAACCCATTCCCGCTAAGGCATCAGTGATGCTCTTAATCTTCAGAAGATACTCATTAGCAGGCAGGCTCCCTTTTTTTGGTTGATTTAAGTTGTGATTTCAATTGCCTAATCTTAGCTCTTGTTTGTGAGGCAAAATGGCTTTGAATCCTTTCCCAAATTCGAAGAGAAGTGTCACAGCCGACTACTCTGGTCAACATCGCATCGGACATTGAACAGGACATCCAAGAAGCCAGAAGTTGGTCTTGTCATTCCCAGGCACTATACTCTGGATTAATCTTGAAAGATTCTGGATCTTTATCATCTGCAAGAAGCTTTGCAGGAGGCTTTACTGCCTTGTTGATGAATCCTTGAAGATCGTGACCACGGATGGCTAAAACGATCTGATGCTTCCATATGAGATAGTTACTCTCATCGAGCTTAACGGACACAAGGTGTGAGAAGGTAATAATTTCCTTCTTATTCAGAGAAGATGCGGAAGGTGAGATGGAGTTTGATGGTGTGGAAGACATTTCGATTTCTGCCCTGAGTACTCTGATACCATAAAGGTTTGGTGGAGAGAAAGAAGACGATAGAAAGAGAGTGAATAGTTCATGCCTTGTCTTATTGATCTGACACAAATATATAGAGTGAGATATACAGAGTGTGTCACGTGACTTGACCAGGTCGACTAACTAAGTCTGTTTGGTTATACTAATAAGTTACTCTTCCGGTCTTTATTATAAGACCCAATTTGACTTTTTATTTGGTCCTAATTATAAGACCCAATCCATTTTCTCTTTTATATTTATGCATTTTTTTCCAAGATAATCCTTTTAATAATGATAGTTTTAGCCAATATACTTAATTAGCAAGGATATTTTAGGAATAACAACATTTATTTATTATAAATAACCAACTTAACTTACTTCCTTAATCTCCTCAAATAAGTCAATTGTGTCTTATAATTAGGACCGGAGGAGTAGTTACAATATAACCGACTACTTTATTACACTATCAAACTCATCTAGGCAACATGGTTACCGTCGAATGTTTATCTTCCAAGTTATTATGTATATGAAATTTAATTAACAAGAAAAAGTTTGGTCCCAAAAAAGAAGTTAACAAGAAAAAGAAAGCACATTGACCATATGTAATTAGAAAACTTGATTAACAAGAAAAAGAAAGCACATTGACCATATGTAATTGGAAAACTTGATATAAGCAACTTTTAATTATAAACCCACACAGAAAACATATGACCATATATGATTAGAAAACTTGACATAATAAATATAAATAACTTTACCAAGCAATTTTCAAAAGAAAACATTTTAACAATAATTTAGCAAAAACCAGTTAATAATATCCCAACAAAATTGTTGTTTTCTTAATTTATTCTTAGTTTGAAAACTTAACAATTACTTCATATTAACCCATTCAATTAGAGAAATTTTTACATACACTATTTGTAGTTTTACTATCGAGGTTTCGATCAAAATATAATATAATTTTTGAATAGTAATATGATATATATGATTTAAACCAGTAACTAAATGAATATTTCAATTAAACCATGAGCCTATCATATTAAAAGATAATCATATTTCAATTGAGAGATTTCTTAATAAAAATTCAGGGGGGGAATTATTTAATGCAAATCTGAGTAACTTGTTGATAGACTATAATATTATGATATGATGAAAATCTCAAAGTTAGATATTCTCATCAATAATCTCTTCTTATGTAAGGGTACACATAGGCAAGGCCAGATTCTTGTCTAATATCTAGCCTGAAAGATTCCTGACCGTGCTTGATAAAAGTCCACATAATTTTGGACAAGGCTGAGTTTTCTGCCCACTTAGTAACACTTTGTTCATATCATGTGAAGATTTACCCGGCCAAACTAAATAAATAATATTTTAGGACTTCAGATATATTTTATAATTCCACAACTTAAAATATTCTAAGAGAAGAAAGAAATATAAACACTATACTACAAATTACAATATTCTAAGAGAAGAAAGAAATATAAACACTATACTACAAATCCACATATCTATCTATCATTTCATACCTCCTTATATTACAAAATTAAACACAACTTGATAGGTCTTCATAAAATCCTTCATCAATATGTCAACAACTTACGTCTTGAAGTATTTAATTCCACCGAATATATATATCACATATATATTAAATACAATTACATACAATAAATTTATGTATATTATATATTACATAGAATTATATATATAAATTCTGGGTAATGCCAAACATGCACGGTGGCATATCTTGCCCGACACCTGGCTCTGCTAAATGCCCAACTATTTTTTGTGTTGCTTCTTGACTTTAGGGGGCGCGGGTGGGCATTGCTCATGATCACCCCTACACTTTCTTCTCATGGCATGGAGCAAAAAACTTATGCTCAAGGGCCTCCTCTGCACCGATTCTCAGTCTAGGGTTCACTATCAAACACTTGTTCAAGAGATCAGGCAGTAATCTTAAATCGTGAGGGACTTCCTGGATCTCTCCTTTCTCAAGTTTGATTCTTTTCTCTAACCAAACTTGAAATCGCAAAGGTGCCAAGCCTTGTTTACCATACAAGTCCTACAACACAAGCAGTTAGATTTAAGTTGTAATGATGAATTTGAATCAAATGTCAGAGTAGATTCCAGTCATATATGATAGATAGATACCGCAGGGAATGAGGATTCCCGATTGTGTAGCTTAGCAATCTCCCATAGATCCTCACTGCCTCTCAGTTTAGCTATATCCTTTATGTTCCTGAAGATTACGGGTAACGGAAATTGTAAGAATGACTAGCGAAGGTAAATAAGCCATGCATGCTGTAAGTGTTGGATTATAGTAGAAATTCTTACTGTTCAGGATCTCCAGAGAAAGGAGTTTTTCCGATTATGAGATAGAGCAAGGATACACCGGCAGACCAGATGTCAAGCTTAGGACCTTGATGTGGAGACCTGAACAACACCTGCACAGAGTACTCACCGATCACCATCAAGCTTCTTGCTTCTTTAGAAAAAGTCATATTATATTTTTCAATCCATTTATTTCATCAACAAGCTCACATTCATATCCTACCTCTGGAGCCCGAAAGCCCCCTGTTCCCACCCAAGGACCTTTTCCAGGACCAGCGGCATCATTGGCAATTGGTTGTTTTGAAGGCATGGGAGAGCCGTCGACAGGGTTCTTATCCGGAAACTGAGAAAAGCAGCAACAATAGGCTAAATTACAAGATAAAACAGATTTATATTGAACAGCACGAAAAATCTGTTCATGTTATGCTACAGAAACAAAATACTAACCCTGGCATGATTGAAACCAGTCAGATACCCTTCGTTCCGCTTACGGGAGAAAAGGAAATTGCCAGGTTTAACATCTCCGTGTATTACTCCCTGCGTATGCATGAGCAATCATTAGAACCTCTAATTTTCCTAGGTTTGCGTATATTACAAAAATAGAATTCTTTATACCCCCTTGTGAAGTGCTGCAAGAGCCCGGAACATGCAGTAACCATACCGTCGGAGTTGATCAGTTTTAATTTTCTCCTTTAACACCTATGTGAGGGCGAAAATCATAAGAGTGAAAACAGAAAATAACACAACTTCCATTTAGATGTGGGAAATTTACCTTAGGCTCGTCGTGCATAATATATTCTAGAACAAAGTAATGAGTATTTCCTTTCTTGAAGCTGTCTTCATAGTTAATGATACTATTTTTTTTGCCTCTGAATTGAATTATGAAGTCATTGTGACAGATAAGTCATTAAATAACTTCAAAAGCTTAACCGGCAACGCAAAATGTTGAAGAAATATTTCTGAATTGTGCTTACCGAAATTGCTTCAGCACTTTCCACTCCTTATCAAGACGTTGCTCGTGAGCTTCAGCAGCAGGACCTGAAAAGCCACAACGATAAATTAGCAATTTCTACTTCTGAGAGGTCATAACTTGTCTCGTTGATGAACAGTGAAAACTTAAGTAAGATTTTCTGATGTTTCATGGTCAATAACATGGAAGAGCACTAAGTCAAATCAAAATAGCGTTTTCATTAATAAACCTATGGCATTTCGAGTAGAAGAGCACGAAGTCACATAAAAAAGAACAGGCTAACAGCTGGCTTACATTAGAAATTAATAAACCTATGGCATAATCCTCTTTTTTTTCCGTCAAAGCGTAAATGTTACTCCTCCGATTCTTAATATAAGGCTCATTTAACTAATTTGATTAGATTAAAGAAGTTAGATAAGTTAGTTAATTATAAAAAAAAGTGACACATTTTTTCTAAAACACCGAAATCATCTTTCTTAATATCTCCTCTTCCTCTTCTACTTGACTATGGTTGAGGGGTATCTATAGGGGTAATTTAGAAAAAATTGATAAATATGAGAAATGCGTCTTATATTAAGGACCAAAACCAACTCAAGAATTGGATCCTATATTAAGGACCGGAAGAGTTACAATTTAATTATCATTGTATTTTTTTTACATTATTTTGTTATTATCAATTAAATTGTATTATTTTAATATGATCAGTCTAACTAATATGACTTACTGACTCTTAACCCACTATCTTAATCGGTTGATTATCCAGTCTGATTTTTTGTACCTTGTTTTAATGGGGTACATTTAATTGCAACCGTGGCTCCATCTTTCTTACTCTTTGCCTTGTAAACAACGCCATTAGCACCTGCAAGATTAAGTTTCATTAGAAGAACTGTCAATAAATTTATACACTCAAAGAGAATTGGATCAGTGTGGATGCAGCGGCCAAATCAGAAACCAATCAACGTTTTAATACCTTTGCATACTTCCTCTTCCACAATGTATGATTCAAATGTTGGAAGATCCTTACGCTCCTTTTGATCCTACATGACAGGAATCAACAGCTCTTCGTCAGAAAAACTTCGACAAAACATATTTAATGACTTGTAGAGAAAGTAAAAGATGAATTCCTAGTATAATTGTAAAAATATATCCTAGCAGTGTCTCAAATTTAAAACCACACCACAAGACAAGATGCGTTAAGATCGAAGGTACCTTTTTTTCCTTTTTCTGTCCCTTATCCATTCGTGCCCGACCTCCATTAATGTTCTGTTGACCCATTGCGCCAAAGTGGCGTGCCTGTGGCAATGCTTATTTGTCAGAAATCAATATAATAAATTTCCACTTTTGTTGACAAGAACAGAGATGTACTTCGCATAGACAATAAAATGCACAATCCATGCAGTATCAAGTTTATGATTCATTATAAAATTGAATTGGGAGTTCATCACAAGTCGAGACATAGCTTAAGCCTCTCATAGAAATTACAGTTACAGGGAAGATGGACAAAAGAAGTCTTAGCAGTGGAGGAATTGTTAATATTGGGAAAATATTTTTTTTATCGGCAAAAAAAAAACATAGAGATGGAATTTCCTGGAAATATAATACTCCCTCCCTCCGTTCTTTATTATAAAAGACTTATTATAAAAGACGAATAATCGAATTACGTTAATAAAAAAAGCAGTTAAAATTAATTAAGAACAATCAATGTATAAAAAATATAATTTTTTTTTCAAAATTGCCCTCATTAATAAGGAGAGAGAGCATGAGGGAAAACAATTAAATTATTGAAAGAAAGAAAAGTAGGAAGGAGAGAGAGTGAGTTGGAGACAATAAATATGGGTAAAATAGGAACTTAACACAAAAAAGTAGAGACAACTTTTAAGTGTCTCTTATATATAGGAACATGCTTTAAACATCAAATGTCTCTTATAATAAGGTGCGAGGGAGTAGTAGTTTTTTTCAATCCTTTTGCGGCATACACAGCTGCGTATTGAAGCCTCTTCTGAAACAAACCCAGAATGATAGTTTACAGAAGAAAGAAGAAGCAAGAAAACCCCCCAAACAGTTTGTTCAATAGTCTTCCCAGAGGGAAAAAAATTCACATAAATAGCCACAAGTCAGCTACAATTGATTTCCATATTTCAGCTGGAAATCTGCACAATTCAACGGAAGAGAGGAAAAAATAAACAATTGGAAAGAATCTCACAAACGGCCGTCGCTATTAAAAGAATCTCACCTTACAGAAAATGCAACCCATTGCAAGTGGGTAGAATGGTCGATGCGATCCTTAAATAGACTTGACGTAACGGATAGACTTGACGGACACCGAGCGGAAGGAGATTCGGGGAAGTTTCGTGTCTTTTAATTGAAATTACTATAATATCCCCGTTGCATTTCCTAACAACTTCGCCAGGAGCAACCAGCAAGTTCGCGAAATTTAGAGGAACCCTCCTCGTTCAGTGATCATTGATGATCTCACTCAGGCATATGGAACGATAATAATCCTAGAAACTTCTTTAATAAATAAATCTGAAAAATAAAATAAATCAAAATTTTACATTTAGAACTAAATTAAATATTTAATTATTTGTATATTACCTCCGGTCTTTAATATAAAATCTCATTTAATTTTTATTTTAGTTATAAATATAAGATCGTAATCGATTTTGTCTCTCATATTAATATATTTTTTTTCAAAATAGTCATTCTAATAATGATAGTTCTAACTAATATACTTGATTAATAAGAATATTATAGGAAAGACAATACTTATTTATTATAAATAACTAACTTAACATATTTTTTTAATCTATTCAAATTAACCAATTAGTTTTTATATTTAGGATTTGAAGGAGTATTTAAGATAAGAGGTGGCGTGTGATAGGAGACGAGAAATTGATATTGGTCGGTGGGACTTTGATGATTTTTTTTTTTTTTGACCAGCAGGACTTTGATAATTTGGCAAAAACTTCAAGCCTCGATGTACATGAATGCAGACTCCTCTAAGTGGGCAAGTGGTAACAAGTAGAGTTCACATTGAACACCCTCTCTCACACACACTAGTGCAAGCTTGCTGGCGCGTCATCATCACTCCCCCGCCCAATAAGTTACTACTTCGGTCTTAATTATAAAAGCTAGTTGACTAATTTGAAGAGATTAAAGAAGTAAGTTGATTTAGTTATTTATCTTAAATAGGTGTTGTCTTTCCTAAAATATCCTTACTAGTCAAGTGTATTAACCAGAACTATAATTATTAGAAGGCTTATCTTAAAAAAAATTAAATAAATATGAGAGACAAAGTGGATTGGAGTCTTATATTTATGACCAAAATAAAAATTAAACAGAGTTTTATATTAAATATCTTAGTATCTTTTATTGTCGATCTTATCCATAAAACTAAGTTCTCCGTCAAGTCTCCGTACGACCACGTGCGTGATGTTGAATATGTTCCCCGTCAAGTCTCCGTACGTTGAATGCGCGCGCCAACTACATAGGAGTTTTTATAAATTGTAAATTTATCATAAATAAATAATTTAATTATATTTAAAATCTGAAGTTATCTAATTTTTTTATTTATTGACATGAATATCATTCAATGTAGCACGCTTGCATGATTTTACGTATTCTTTATTTGTTTTCTTCCCCATTAGGAATGATGGTTTAAAGCCACGTTTTCAAATAAAAATAATCACAAAACATTACAAATATGCAATTCTGGGGACTATCGATGTCTAAGATATTAAAGTCCGGAAATGTCAGATCAAAATTTTTTCTCGATCTAAGATATTAATTAATCACACAAAACACGTGCGCACACAAATATATACTTTTCTGGTCATAAACAAAAGACTCATTTTGTAATATAATTTAGGGAAAATTTTACTGAAGGACCGCTGAAGGCAATTAATTTCCAATAGCCCCCAAAACAATCTGACAAGTCACTGCAGGACCATGGGGGTGAATTGATATTAATTTCAAAACTAAAAAGACAGTGTTGCCCCTCAAACTATTACTCTGAAATTTGAAGTCTTCTCTCTCTCTCTCTCAACTCCTGATATCTGAAGCCCCTCTCGCTCACTCTCTAAAAATTCTAGTTCATGCAGTGAAGGAGATCGTTCACCTCACTGTCGCTACTGTTGTGGTGAGGAAAGATTTTGCCATCGTCATTGCTCTGCTGCGGAGAGCCTTCGTTGTCGCCCTTGCTCTAGTAACGAGAGCCTCCATCACCGCTCCTGCAAGTGTTGGACGAGAGCCTTTTGTGTAGATATGAAGCTGGTTAAACTAGAAAGGCTTGCAGGAACGCGAACTCTACATGAATTTATTGCTGAATAAAGTTTGTTTTTATTTTAATAAACAACTATTTTTGTGTACAGATGAACCTCAATATGTATTTTTGGAATGGTTCACGAAGTGGTTATGACAATCCGTGAGTTGAAATCTATTTTGTATGGCTATGAATAGATAGAGAATTTCATGATGGTACTTAGAGGTAAACTGCCCTAAGTACTGAACTGAAACTAGCTAGCAACTATATAAATGTGTGAACAAATTAATCGACTTGCAAATGGACGTATTTTTATTGTTAATGCATGTATTCTTATTGCAAATTTCCTAATTCCACTTGTAAACAGTCACTTCCAGATTTGTGAATTGACGTGTTCAACTTTTTAAATGAAATAAATCTACTTGCAAAAGGACGTATTTATATTGTTAACGAGTGTATCCGTGTTGCAAATTTCCTAATTTCACTTGTGAACCCTCACTCCTAGGCTTGTGATAAACTTTTTCAATTGAACTAGCTTATTTGTAAATGGATGTGTTATTCTTATTAATATACAAATCCTATTTGCAAATTTTCTAATTTTAGTTGTAAATGATCCCTCCCAGTCTTGTGAATAATTATATTCAACTTATTGAATTCAACTAGCTCACTTGTAAATGGACAAATTCTTGCTGTTAATATACTTATCCTTCTTGCAAATTGCCTAGGAAGCACTAGTCACAATATCCCTTGTGTGATAGTCATTTTCTATTACTCATGAGTTCATTCATTATTTTGAGTTTGCATTGATGCGCTTGTGTTAATCTATTGACAGTACTTATTGTTGTGTCACAAGAATAATACACTTCACTAAAGTCTGAGTTGTGGTGACTCATTACTCCAAAAGAAATACACAATCAGTTGCTATTGCAAACTACTTCAACGGATAAAGACAATAAAAAACAAAACAATGACATAATGTGTTAAAATTTGTGTATGGAGAATTTGCACGATTTTTGTTTTAGGGAATATACTATGAGTAGGTTACATGTCAATTAATTACAATTTGTTGTCTTTCCCCACTAACTTACAAGTATGTGATGTACTATTAACAACTCGAATTAGAAAATTTACAATAAGAATATGTTGATTAACACTTTGATGTCATAGGTATTTGGTTGTCATATTGGCAATTAGAATTAGGAAATTTGCAATAAAGATACATTGATTCACAAGAGAAACTTGTCCATTTACAAATGGACTAATATAACTAAAAAAGTCATACATGATTATTCACAAGTCTGAGGAGCACTAATCACAAGTGGAATTAGGTAATTTGCAATATGAATATGCATATTAACAACAATAACCCATCTATTTGCAAGTGATCTAGTTGAATTCTAGAAGTTGGACATGATAATTCATGTTTGGGAGGGACTATTTGCAACTAGAGTCAAACAATTTGCAAGAAGGATAAGTATATTAACAATAAGAATTTGTCTATTTATAAGTGAGCTAGTTGAATTTAAGACGCAAGTCTGGGAGGGATCATTTGTAACTGATATTAGAAAATTTACAAATAGGATGTGTATATTAATAAGAATAACACATCCATTTGCAAGTGAGCTGGTTCAATTGAAAAAGTTTATCACAAGCCTAGGAGTGAGGGTTCACAAGTGAAATTAGGAAATTTGCAACACGGATACACTCGTTAACAATAGAAATACGTCCTTTTGCAAGTAGATTTATTTCATTTAAAAAGTTGAACACGTCAATTCACAAATCTGGAAGTGACTGTTTACAAGTGGAATTAGGAAATTTGCAATAAGAATACATGCATTAACAATAAAAATACGTCCATTTGCAAGTCGATTAATTTGTTCACACATTTATATAGTTGCTAGCTAGTTTCAGTTCAGTACTTAGGGCAGTTTACCTCTAAGTACCATCATGAAATTCTCTATCTATTCATAGCCATACAAAATAGATTTCAACTCACGGATTGTCATAACCACTTCGTGAACCATTCCAAAAATACATATTGAGGTTCATCTGTACACAAAAATAGCTGTTTATTAAAATAAAAACAAACTTTATTCAACAATAAATTCATGTAGAGTTCGCGTTCCTGCAAGCCTTTCTAGTTTAACCAGCTTCATATCTACACAAAAGGCTCTCGTCCAACACTTGCAGGAGCGGTGATGGAGGCTCTCGTTGCTAGAGCAAGGGCGACAACGAAGGCTCTCCGCAGCAGAGCAATGACGATGGCAAAATCTTTCCTCACCACAACAGTAGCGACAGTGAGGTGAACGATCTCCTTCACTGCATGAACTAGAATTTTTAGAGAGTGAGCGAGAGGGGCTTCAGATATCGGGAGTTGAGAGAGAGAGAGAGAAGACTTCAAATTTCAGAGTAATAGTTTGAGGGGCAACACTGTCTTTTTAGTTTTGAAATTAATATCAATTCACCCCCATGGTCCTGCAGTGACTTGTCAGATTGTTTTGGGGGCTATTGGAAATTAATTGCCTTCAGCGGTCCTTCAGTGAAATTTTCCCTATAATTTATACTATAAAATAGGTTTTATATTTAGAACCAGAATAATATAACTCAATTTATATCACAAAATATGTCTTATATTTAAGACCAGAATAGTATAACTCAATTTCATTTAATATAAAATATTTGTTCACTTGAAACTTGGAAGAGATCCAATGCCTCTTAAATAAACTCTCCAGTTTAAATTTCGTGAAAGAAAAAAAATTATAATACAATGACTTCTCTTGACGGACACCGAGCGGAAGGACATTCGTCGGGCTCGATCTCTTGGAAGTTTCGTATCTTTTAATTGAAATTACTATAATATCCCTGTTGCATCTCCTAACAACTTCGCTAGGAGCAACCAGCAAGTTCGCGAAATTTAGAGGAACCCTCCAAGTTCATTGATCATTGATGATCTCACTCAGGCATATGGAACGATCATGATCCTAGAAACTTCTTTAATAAATAAATCTGAAAAATAAAATAAATCAAAATTTTATATTTAGAAGTAAATTAAATATTTAATTATTTTTATATT